GTGGATGCTGGCGTAGATGAACTTTAGGTTGATTCATTGCTAAGTGATGATCCAATGGTAAATAGAGTGCATTTTGTACAGCCATTCTTTAGTCTGCGCGACCACCCAAAGCCTCTAACGACACAAGTCGGCATTCAATCATTCACGCACCAACGACCATATGATTTGTAGACCACCATGCTACCTGCTGAGCCACAGCCCCCCCGCAGTGGTCTTCATCATGTTTAACACAATTGAGTGGCACTGTAAATTGTACAGTAACTGTTACTAGGAGAATGTACACTTGACAGCTTATGAAAGCACAGTCCCCTCTATAAAATAAATAAATATAAAAACGTTTTAGATACATCAACTTAAATTCAAGATGCATGAGGTCAATGGTAAACACTGTCATTAATGTAAATAAATAGTTTCCAGACAACCTTTGACACGTTATCCAACCATGATACCATTTCAAATGTTAGTTGGAGTGCCAGGTGACATTTTAATCTGAAGAGAAGATGATGTTGCCAAGGTATTCCACACATTTAAAAAAAAGAAATACTTTTATAAATAGCCTGGAACAATGCAACCTACCAAAGAATATAGAATCAGCTATGTTGTAATGCCCATCATAAGATGCAGCTTTTTATATGAAAAACTCAACCAAAAATGACACAATGTAAGAAGCGATTGCCAGAAGTGTTAAACTGGGTTGCTGTCCTTTTGTATGCATTCTGTCTGCTTAGTATGCACAACATAGCGTTTAGTTAACCATGTACCTGTTTCTCATCCACCCATATGACAGCAGTAAAGTCTAATCATTGTGGGGTTGATTACTAGCCGCCAGTGATTGCTGCACGGCTGCAAGACATGTGTTATTGATCAGTTCTGCATCTGAGTGTACTACCCACATCACTTGTGTAGCACCCCTGCTTACTTCACATTTGTTTTCCTCTTTATTTCATAAACAAGACAGATCTGCACCCTTCTGGGTAACCAGTAGAAATAATCAGCATGATTTCATGTTAGTCACATTGAACCAATCGATTACTTATTTGACACATAGTATAATGTACATAAAGCAATGATGAGCTGGATGTTCAGGACACAACTGAACGTAATGTTTCCACTGAAGGTAAAAGCAAAGACTCTTTCCTTGTGGATATTGTTATGTCATTTATGTGTTGTTACAAAGTATTCACTGGTGTGAGTACTAATGAACAAAAGGAGAGACATGTACAGAATGTGTACACACAGCTCAGTAGAAAATTCATTGTCAAGCTTCAAGGTATTGATTGTTTGTGGAGGTTTTGTTTGAGACTTCGGTAATAAATTCATTCAGCAGAGCCGGGTGTGCAGTTATATCTTCCTCCTTCCCTTTTTGTTGAAATCTATTCTGTGCATCAGCGCTACCATGACTAAAACCAAGATTAATTGCTTTCATATCTCTGGTGTGGGATCGCAACCGCTGGGACACACATAGAAACACACAGACACATGCACAGTGTCTTCACTACACACATTTGTTTTGCACACGGTACACAATGTACCCGATCAAAATGAATCTGCATGCATCAAAATGAGACCGGCCTAATTGACAGGCAGGCTTCAATGCTGTGCCGACGCCATACAGCATTTCAGTTGGAACAAAACATCTCTGCGCACTAAAGAGGGGATTAAGCATTGGAAATGAAGATAAAGGGCCATGTTAGAGCAGATGGGCAGGTGTGTATGCATTTGTGCAAACCAAACTGATGACTGTGTTGCCTATGCAGTGTGTCCTTCCATGTGTGTGCATCTGATGACTCTCCATGTTTATCATAACTGCATACAGATGATGTTGATCGGGCTTGTTCATCCCTTGAAGGATACCGAGTCTCTATTTGCATCTGACATTAAAGTAGGGAGCGAGCGCGGCAGCTTATTACAAAGCTGACGGGAGAAAAAGCCGATGCATAACGCACCTCTGTGAGCAGAACACATCAGAGCGGCGAGGCTACCGCCCGCTCTCTCTTTAACAGCATCTATTCCACTTCCCCAATCACCTCTCTGTCTGTCAGCTGCGATGAGAAGAGGGAGGGAGGGAGGGGGAGAGAAAGATGTAGAAGAAATCACACTACTGTTTGAATATGCAATCACTTTGGCAGCTACAGTGACTAAGCAACATCATCTGAGCAGGGGAGAGTGCTTTTTGTGTCTGTGAGTGGGAGAGATCGAGATCAGGTGTGAGAAAGGCGACCAAAAAAAGAGACAGCAAAGGAAAGAAGGAAGGAGGGAGAGAGTGCTGCTCTGAGGCGTTCCATCATCCACCAAACTCCTGCAGCTTCCCTCCTCCTCCTCCTCCACCTCCTCCTCCACCAGGAGAGAGAGAGAAACAGCAAGAGAGTCAGAGGACGAGAGAGCAACAGAGAGAGAGGGAGAGAGAGAGAGAGTCACGCTTACAAGCCAGTGGAGAAGAGACGTCAAGAGGAGGATCTACAGGGGGAGAAAAAAAAAATCCTTCTCTCTTCTGCTGCCTCTCTGCGTGCATCCTACGGGCAGCGAGGAGCGAAGAGGAGCGAGGAGGATCCGGCTGGCATATTTTCTACTCTGCTTCCCCGCTATTTCTGCGGCTGATCACAGTGGGTGGAGAGCAGGGAGAGCCGCCGAGAGCTCCATCGGTGACACCGCTCCGCAGCAGCACACCAAGAGAACTGTAGAGCAGCCGGGATGCTTAACAACTTGACCGACACAGAGGAGGGGGACGGAGGAGCCCAAAGCCAGGGTGAGTGATGGGATGTTGGGCAAAAATGCATAAACGGGAACATTCAAATGGCAATGCAAGACACATAGTGTATATCCTCCCACGCAAACAGAGAGGTAATGAATGTAGCGCATTAAATGCTTCGTAAAGCACACACAATTTAGGTTGATGGGAGTGAGCAGTCATTGGGAAAAGATGTGTGTGTGTGTGTGTGTGTGTGTGTGTGTGTGTGTGTGTGTACGGTACGGTGGTCGGCTTGCCTCCTCTGCTGCTGCTGCTCTTACTGCAAGGCTGTTGTGACAGGAATAGTAATGGGCTTGCTCCATACGATGAATGGATAGTGTAAGGGCATTACAGCCTTTTCCAGCACATGCACCAACTTGCATTAAAACACACACATCAACATAACACACGTAAACATGCAAACATGCATACAGTAATGATGTATGGTGCAGAAACGTCAAATAGTTGGTCCATTCTACAACGCAAACTTAAATGCTCCCATCACATATGGTTATATGTGGACAGGCGGTATGGGCATGTGCGAGCTCTCACACACACACACACACACACACACACACACACACACACACACACACACACACACACACACACACACACACACACAACCACTCACAATTACAGAGTGGTTGTGTGTGTGTGTGTGTGTGTGTGTGTGTGTGTGTGTGTGTGTGTGTGTGTGTGTGTGTGTGTGTGTGTGTGTGTGAGAGCTNCTCTTTGCTTGTTGGGAGGGTTACTTTGTAAATGTAATCTGTTACTGATTGCTGAATACATGGCTCTGAAAGTAATCCGAATACAGTTACGCGTCTTCAATCAGATTACTTTTAGATTACTTTATTTTTCCATCACAGATGGTATGTTTTGGTGAACAGGAGACACAAAAAAGCAAAAGGAAACTAAACGTGTTTTTACTGTTTTAATTAGGGATGCACCGAATATTCGGCTACCGAAAATTATCGGCCGAAAATGGTTAAAAAGGCCCTTTCGGCTTTCGGCCATGTCAGAGAACAGGGTTACGTTGATCATGCTCCGTATATTTGTCCGGGTGTTTTGATTTCAAGTGGTGGAGTAATCCCGAAGTGGTGAAAGTCTTTGCAGTTACACCCCCTCGAGAAATGTCAGCTGAACACGTTTTACAAATCGCAATCCGCGCCTCTTTCTCTGATATTCTGAAATATCTCCAAGCGGCAGACATGTTGGCTGTGAGCCAGCAGCGAGCATGGTCGCGCGCCGTGCTTGTCGCCGCGTTTTGATTACGTCATCACAACAACACGTTAGGTTACCAAACTTATAGGTGCATTTGTTGTTGTTGAAGGCCTGGCTGTACGTCTTTATTTACACTATTTTGTTGTAGGCCTACTGGCCTAGATGTTTATGCAGTTTTAAAGCACCTTGGCTTTGTTCTGAATGCACTTTGTTGTAGTTATCCTACAGAGAAAAGAAAATGCACTTGACTTGGAATTAATGTACTGTATGCATTCACAAGTGCTGAATAAATGTTTTATGGACCCATAATAGTGATTATTATTTAAGTTAAGTTTTGCCATAATCATGTCTTTTTCCATAATCAGGTAGCTGAACAACATTGGTAAAAAATGTATACATTATATATATATATATATTTCTATTAATCATTTTCGGCCTTTCGGCATTCGGCCAACTGTTTCCTATTTTCGGTATCGGTTTCGGCCAAGAATTTCCCATTCGGTGTATCCCTACTAATTATGTTTTTTAAGTTAGTTTGTGCACTAAAAAAAACTTTAAAAAATGTTGAACTGTGTCATATGCATCCCCAAAGAAATGTTTTTAAATGTTTCTTATGATGCACAATTTATTTTGTTTGTTGTTATCCTCAGTGATGTAAACTAAGTAGATTTACTGTACTATTAAGTACAATTTTGAGGTACTTTTATTTTAGTATCTCCATTTTCTGCTACTTTTTACTTCTACCCTAACACAATTCAGAGGTATATAGTGTGCTTTTACTCCACTAAATGTATTGAATACTTTAAGATTACAGATCTGGATGAATGATGTGAAATATAATCAAGTGTTAAATCAGACTTTAGTTGCACCCGGAGTAAATTCACAAGCTACCCTGCAGTATACAAAGTCATTCAAACTAGATGCACCTTTACCAGCTTTGAGAACACTTTAATGATCAATAATTGTAAAACATATCATATATTAATCTGAAATGGACCAATCTGCACAATGAATACTTTTACTTTTGGTACTTTAACTATATTTTGATTGAAAACTTTTCTACTTTCACTTGAGTGATATTTTGAATGCAGGACTTACATGAGAATTCCTACACTCTGGTACGTTTAGTTTATTCAAATACAGTACTTATTCCACCTCTGGTTAGTCTTAAACAAAACGTGCAAATAATCTCCTGCAGATCAAAACTTCATTAAAACTTTAAATAGGCCTACAGAAAGTGTGAGACTATATTCATGTTGAAGGTAAACACAGGTCACCTGCCAGACAGCAGCACCGACAGCTTGTCTATGGCAGTCTTCCCCTCCACGGCGAAGCACTGGTCCCTCTCTAGGGTGTGGATGTCTCCCTCACAGCAGGTCACTATCTTCCCGAAGTGAGTGAGCGACACCCCCAGCTTCTTAAACATGCAATTGTAGAGCTCCTGGAAGTCCTCACTGAGGGACACGCTCCTCAGGCGGTAGGACACATGCAGCACCTGTCCCAGACACACCCCGAACAGGGCGAAGCTCCACAGGAAGGAGTCCGTGGTGCAGGGGTCCCCCCAGGCCCACAGGGTGGAGCAGAAGAAGCCCAGGGTGAGGAAGGTGAAGAGGTAGAGGAGCCCGTAGAAGCCGCTGCCGCCCATGAAGCCGAGGAACAGGAGGATGTTGGCGAGGTGGAACACGGAGCCCTCCGCGGACTCCCGCCACGCCTCACACAGGGGCTGCCCCGTCGCAGCCTCCACCGTGAAGTTCAGGGCCTCCACGTCCAGAGGCTCCATGTCCATGTCAAGTGAAGAAAATTACCAGAGCATTGGAGCCATGGGAGTCACAGAACGGAGGAACACGCGCAACATGTCCCGAGTGTTCACCTGACTGTGTGAAAACGAAAGCACCGAGATAACACCGGAAGTAGCCTCAGTAGAAGGACACAACTGACCGATAATTTTTTTCTAAATTCGTGTTCCCATAAACAATTTGGCTGTTATATTTCATATTCTAGGTTTTGGGCAACAAAAATAATTGTATTAAACTAGAACCAAACAGTATGTTTATTGCATGTATCCAACTTTTTGTAAGTAAGTTGGTAAATTTGTTGGCTTTGGCTACCAGAATATATATTATGTTTCATTCTGGTTCCATGGCGTAAGGACACAGGTCACGCAAGAAATTAAAAATGTTCAGCGGGCTCTTTAAACCTCAGTCAAAAATATTACACTTTTATTTTGAAAGTCAAAACATCGTATTTCCGGTTTGTATGTTTCACTGCGTAGCTTGACCATGGCTGGCCTCAGTAATAAAATATGATGTGAATATGATAGCAGGGGTCCCCTTGGTCCTGCTGTCCTCCTGATTCTAAATGTGAACTGTGATGTGTTGTGGAAATGAAACCAAAAAACAATTACAAATATGATTAATTATGAATAATAAGTGTTAAAGCTGCTGCGCGAGTGAACATATTGCCTCTCATAAATCAGAAAAATGAAGGGTTATGAATGTGAGCCTGCTAAAGGTGACTATTACTGTTTACTGGTTGGGAGAAAGTGAGTGTGGGTGATATCTGGGGCAGCAGAGAATCCCAAGCGTATTTCACTTCAGACATAAGGGGTCTGGCCCCGTTTTCGGATGAGGGGTCATGACAAAGGAAAGCAGAGGAAGGGCATCAGCTGCCAGCTTTTGAGCTATTTTTATGAGGATGAGAGAATATAACAGAACTGTTGCATGTGTCTCTGTAAATGTTTAACAAGCGAATGGATTTATCTCCCTGCATAGTACATCATACTTTTTAGAGTATTTCCACTCACGGGCTGTTTGTGTCTGCATACCTGATTTTAAATTGAGAGAAATCAGATAGCCACCAGGTTTTGGGAGTAATGGATTACATGTAACTGGATCACGTAATCAGGATACATAAAAGTAACTTTTTCCTTACAGCGACATAAAAAAAGGTGTGATCAGATTACCCAAAAGTTAGCCTATAAAATAAAGCGCATTAGCTTTTGAGTATTTGCTCATTTGTTTCATTGTTGGTCTACTTCCTGAATTTGCTTAATGAAATACAGGTTTTTCTTTTTAAAAAAAACAATTTCAAAGGTTACATTGTTCTGTTGTCTCACATAATACACTTACAGTAAGATTTGATATTTATTTTGTCTTGTATTTTGCATTGCATTTGGTATTGATGTAATCCAAAAGCAACGGAAGTTAATCAGGTTACATTACTTTTATATTTTATATAAAGGAATACACTTTTAAATAACCCTCCCAACCCTGATAGCCACATATGACAAAGGACCAAGCAGCACTAATGTTGGTGCGCATATAAGGAATGATGTTTATATTATCACTGTTAGGAGCAGATGTGTCCAATCACACTCCACGTTCTCCCAAACACACTCCTGAGAGACAAACAGCAATAATTAATCCGAGCCATGGCTGCCAGTCCTCTCTTATTTTTAGCTCTCCCTGGATAGATCACTTTGGGTGTTGGGGGGGGGGCAGTTGCAGGGTTTCATGCTGCAGCCAGAAGGTCTCAGGTTTCATCTCACACATGACAGCTATCAGTGTGTGTGGGAGGGTGACTTTAAAAGTGTATACAGGAACAGTTTGCCTGTAAACATTTGAAATGTAACCTAATCAGAGTATTTAGATAAAAAAAGGTTATGTAACCTGATCACTTTCAGGTCATTTTGGATTACTTCAATATCAAATGCAATGCAAATTGATAGAGAAAACAAATATATATCAGATGTTTTTAAATTGTTAAAGTATATTATATAAGAAAACAGGACAATGTAACCTTAACAGCCTATACGCCAACAAGGAAACACATGAGCACAAAAAAGCAGAAATAAAATCTGAGCTGACAGGAAATGCTCAGTTTTAGTTTAATACACACAGTTAAGCTCACACACACTATTTTATGAACATATAGGTTCACCTACTGAATTAAAAACAGAACAAATGAACAGAGAAAGTGAAAACCATAAAGCAGATTCAGGCAGGCGTATAGATTCACACTTAAAGTATTAGCCTACAGAACAGTACAGCTTACAGAGAAGAGAGAACATCTGATCCTTTACAACAAACTCTATATGCTCTTTTTAGGTTTTTAACAACAATGTAATCCTGCTAGTAATCCCCATTTTTAGAAATCTAACAATAATCTGATTCTGTCTATTACTAATGTAACTGTAAACCGGGAATATAGTTACCTTTTTTTGTGACCTGATAATGTAATTGGTTACTCCCCTCGCCTGCATGTTGTTGAACCTTCCTAACTCTGAACTCTAACCAAACTGACTCCTTTCCAATACTCCATTACTGCCAGCACTTTAACCCTTAATCAACAGTTCATTCTCTTGTGTCAAAGGAGAAACATTGAAGGGGTCCTTTGGCAGAAATGGAATGTAATATTCATTATTATGTTTTCAAATGAGAATAATCAGTCGTTTCTTTTCTTTTATCTTAGAATGAGCCTATCTACATTTAGTGTGGAAGAAGGCCTATTCTCCTAATTTCTAGTGAGTTAAACCAGGTGTATTCAATTTCAATTCTAGATCCAAAGTCTCCTCCCAGCAATAGTTTGAACCTCCTGTGTAGCTAAAGTAGCCGACATGGGTTAACACATTTCAATGAGGAAAAAAACGTTGCAGTTTCAGATTTTCTTTTTAAATGCATACGCAGTGACCTTCCAAACCTGCCTGTTGTACCTTGTTATAATAACAGTAATATTATTAATAATTATAATAATACACTTTATTTATAAGCACATTTCATGCAAGATGCAGCCCATGTGCTTTACAGATAGAAAAGAACTCACAGTAACTGATAGGGAGCAACAGAGAAAGTGTGAAATAACTGGCGGCCGACGAGGACTTAAGGTGGGCTTCAGGCGTGGGAAGAAGAGATGAAAAGGTTAAATTAGAGAGTAGGGAGCAGGTGACAATATCCTGTCTTGAAAGAGAAGGCAAACGGCTCAAAAGAGGCTGCTTTTTAACTGAGGTTGGGGTAATTTCATTGATTCTTCTAAGCCATTCTTCATTTGACCAACCCCATCAAACATCCATGAAGAATAATAAAATCTGCACCTTGGAGAGAAACAGAAGCCCATCTGATTTTCATTTCTCGCAACCAAGATTCCCCCTGTTTCCTCTCCTCATACAGTGCAAATGGAGGAAGAAAATCTTCACAATTACTGGATCTCTGCACATCAGCGATGCAGATCAGTGCAAATGATGTGCGTTCAAGCCTTTGTAACAGGAAATGAAAGAAGAACACAGACGATTTGTAAAAACCCCCAACAAAAGAGAATTTGAAAAGCAGATTGGCTGCCTTTATCCTCCCAGCATAATGAGAGAAGAGAAGACAGAAGATTTCTATTTGACCTTTTTCCTGCATTATCCAAGAGGTTTCTATTATTTCAAGGAACACAGACTTTCTCTATAAAGTCCAGGGGGAAACCGGAGGGTACAGATGACAGTGTTACATGGACCTCTTCACATGTACTCTTAAACCATAAAGGTAACACAACACTACATGTACTGTGAGAGCTGCTGTACAGTATATCCACACATACAGCATAAAAAAAAAAGGTAACTGTATTCCCTTAAATACAAAAATCTGATTACTATTACATTTCTAAACATTGGGGATTAGGATGACATGTTAATACAAAAACTAGAAAGAGCATATAGTGGTCGTTGTAAAATCTCAAAAGGTGGACTGTACTTCAGTCAAAAAGCGAAGCTGCAATCACTTGTGCCTGCAATTTAGTTTTTGGAAACTTGACCCAGATTTGAAAGAAATGTCAGCCTGCGAAACCAAGCCATGATAAAAACAAATTGATGGAGTCTAAACAATTGAGGGATCCAAAGAAGTCGCAAAAAGTGCCTGGTAAAAGTATTTCCAGTCGTACTATCTAGGGAAACTCCCTCTGGAGGGAACACAGGGATTTTAGACTTTGCAGACCATTAACATGCACACAAAACTATAGAACACACTACACTACAGGAAAGGGAAAACCCCAAAAACCATAATAGGACCTCTCTAAAATGCTCTGGTTGCTCAGAAGCTTCATAGAAATGTAGTTTGCTGATTAAAGTCCTTCTACATCAATCTAATATCAATGTATTTCTTTATCTCAATTTGTCCAATACTTTGTTCTGGATCAAAAACATTCTCATACTAGTTTTTAGAAATGATTAACTAAATGAAGTCCTCTAACTTGTTGTTGATTTATGTGTCAGCTCGTCTTATAAAGTGTAAGCGCGCTCATGCTGTGTGGAGTGCTGAGTCATGGCAGCGGGGGTGCAGCGAAACCTCTCAGACCTGAGGACCTTTCAGGGAGATGTAGAGTGCTCCTTCACTGCCATAAGACGGCGTGTAACCACGACAACCCCAATGTTATCTTCATAACATCCCACACTCTGTCATCTTGTTGATTACTCTATTCTGCATCATGATACATAATGCGCCGGTGAAGATGGCCGCATTGTCGTTTGGCTCCTCTCCAACTTTGCCCTTTTTTGTATTTTGTGCGTGTATATTTACTTTTCGCCGTTTGCTTTTAACATGGTTCGCAACATGCAAGCCAACCGCACCAACGTTGCTATACAATATAGCAGAGAGGAACTTCTTCACATCCGAAACTTCGTTTATAAATAACCACCGACAGAGATTCGCCATGGCTACCTGTTGCTGTCCTACCTGAGAAACGCAGGAGGAAGACAAAGCGGGGGTCCCGTGCCGGGCTGCTGGTCAGCCCGAGGAAACGAGAAAACCGACCCCCTCTTCCGAGTATTCTTCTGGCTAATGTTCAATCCATTGAAAATAAGCTAGATGAACTCAGAAGTCGGATTGCTTTTTTCAACGGGACATTAAGAACTGTAACGTGTTCATTCTCACTGAGACTTGGCTCAAGCCTGCTATCCCGGACTCCGCCATTGTTCCTGACGGATTCACTATTTTTCGTCAGGACCGAACTGTTAACTCGGGGAAAAGTAAAGGTGGCGGTGTGTGTGTAATGATTAATAAATTAGGGTTATTTCTTCAGACTGTTCCGCTCATTTAGAGGTTATGATCACATGCCAGGCTTTTCACCTGCCGAGAGAATTTACATCTGTTGTGATAACAGCAGTGTATATTCCGCCGCTAGCCGACAAAACGGCACTCGATTAGCTGTTTGGGATTATTGACAAGACCGAGACTTCACGGCCAAAGGCGGCGTTTGTTGTGGCCAGGGATTTTTAACACCGCTAACATGAAGAAGGTCCTGCCGAATAACTACCAAAACATCAGCTACCCGACGCGCGGGGGAAACAAACTGGACCATGTTTATTCCCCTTTTCGACATGGATATAAGGCTCGCCCTCCCTTCGGCAAACCAGACCAAATCTCACTG